GTTGGAAGGGGCAGTCCACCAAAGTAAAGAGTCCTGTACTTTGACAGGTGGAAATAGATGGGTGGTGTGTGTGTCCCTCTCTGATTGAAATTGCGGATAAACCATAGTTGTAGGTGACGCATTCTCAACTTGGCAAAAACCAGGACTGATGTAGTAGCGGCCATGAGGCCGAGTAGCCTTTGTATTTGAAAGGGCCAGGTACAGATGGGCCAGGTACTGAGGGCCAGGTACAGATGACAGTGGCTAGGTTGATGATGTCGGCTGCCCTGTTTTGTGGCAGGTAGGCTGTGCAAGCCGTGGAGTCCAGTAGCGCACCGATATAGTGTATCTTCTGGACAGGTTGGAGTTGAGACTTTTCTAGATTTACTTGTAGACCTAGGTTTGCGAGGAGGACCAACATCTCGTTGATGTTTGAGACTAGAGCGTCTTTGGAGGTCGCTACCAAGAGCCAATCTTTGATGTACAGGTATACAGAGATACCCTTGAGACGGAGGAAGGCCGCAACAACTACCATAGTCTTTGTGAAGACTCTTGGTGCCCTTGAAAGGCCGAATGGGAGGGCTGCATATTGATAATGATGTTGACCAATTGCGAAGCGTAGGTATTGGCGGTGGGATGGGTGGATGGTGAGGTGGAAGTACGCGTCTTGGAGGTCGAGGGTGGCCATCCAGACGTTTTTCTGGAGGAATGGCAGAATCTGCTGCAAGTACACCATGCGGAAGCAGTGGTAGCTCACAAAGCAGTTCAGCGCCCATAGATCTAAGATCGGTTGAACGCCTCCATCCCGTTTCGGAACAGTGAAATAGTGGGATGGTGAGATGGAAGTACGCGTCTTGGAGGTCGAGGGTGGCCATCCAGACGTTTTTCTGGAGGAATGGCAGAATCTGCTGCAAGTACACCATGCGGAAGCAGTGGTAGCTCACAAAGCAGTTCAGCGCCCATAGATCTAAGATCGGTTGAACGCCTCCATCCCGTTTCGGAACAGTGAAATAGTGGGATGGTGAGATGGAAGTACGCGTCTTGGAGGTCGAGGGTGGCCATCCAGACGTTTTTCTGGAGGAATGGCAGAATCTGCTGCAAGTACACCATGCGGAAGCAGTGGTAGCTCACAAAGCAGTTCAGCGCCCATAGATCTAAGATCGGTTGAACGCCTCCATCCCGTTTCGGAACAGTGAAATAGTGGGATGGTGAGATGGAAGTACGCGTCTTGGAGGTCGAGGGTGGCCATCCAGACGTTTTTCTGGAGGAATGGCAGAATCTGCTGCAAGTACACCATGCGGAAGCAGTGGTAGCTCACAAAGCAGTTCAGCGCCCATAGATCTAAGATCGGTTGAACGCCTCCATCCCGTTTCGGAACAGTGAAATAGTGGGAGTAGAATCCCTTGCCCCGTAGATGCAGTGGCATGGGCTCAATGGCTCCCTTTTGCAGAAGGACGGACACTTCTTCCAGGAGGGCTGGAGAAGGGGGTGTGGAGACGAAGACAGGAGTGATGGGGTCCTGAATTCTATGCGGTAGCCCTGGGTTAAGATGGACAGCACCCATTCGCCTGTGATGATGAGGTGCTAAGTTTGGAGGAAAGGGGTTAGACGGGTCAGATGTGACTGGGAGATATGGAAGTCAAAAATCCTGTTTGGCGGACTTTGCCTGTTTACTGCGGGAAGACTGTTGTCCCGATCCAAATCTAGGTTTCTGGAATGTGGG